GACACTGCAGACTAAAACAACCAGAAAAATCTGCAGTAGCTGAACATGCCCTAAAACAAACTGGACATGAAATTCTATTTCAAAATACTGAAATACTGGACAACACCAGCAATCATTATGTCAGATTGCACAGGGAAGCCATTGAAATCCACAAGCACCAGCAGAACTTCGGCAAAAAAGAGGAAAGTTTGAAACTCAACAAAACTTGGCTCCTAGCTCTCATCAACCACAGTGACAGATAATCTCTCCTTCTTATCACAACAATACACCCACAACAAGACACACTAATCACCCATCTACAGAAAAAGACAAAAGCCCATCTCACAGCCATAAATACTCCACTCCCAAGCCAACTACACCAGAACACAGAGTGCTGTCCTCTGAAGATGCCGGCCACAGAGACTGGCGAAACGTTAGGAAGAACAAACTTCAGAACACGGCCAAAGAGCCTGAAAAACCCACAACAACCATTACTTCTGAGTTCTTAGTTTTGAGAAAACCTTGAAATGGGTTCCCGTAAGTCAGAATTGACTTGATGGCAATTAATTAATTCTAAAAATTAGGACCATCCTCTCACACCCTCTAAATAAGGAGCTATATCCTGTAAAAGAGAACATGTGGACACTTTAGCTACCTTTTCTGTGGCCAAAAGGAAAAAGGTATGCTCTCTGCTTGCCCCAAATTCAGCATTTTCCCTCAATGGTTTGTATCACTTTGAATCATGGGCCATCCCACATAGATGTTGCAATCAGGACAAGCTGCAGTTCTTGGCTAAAGGGGAGACTGTTAACAGCCAGGGCGAGAGTTAAGTTGCCAAGGTGGATTTTCCTAATAGGTGATGAAAAACGTTATTTGGGGCTATAGGAACCTTCACCGTTACCGCGATCTCTGACCATAAAATCAGCAGGCAGGAATCTACGGTATACTACCAGACATTCTTAGTGCCTAGTCTCAGCTTGAGATGGTTGTTATGTGTTCTTCTGATAGCTGTAGGTCTCCTCTCCTCCTGCTGAATTTCAGCTGGGTTTTCAGCTTTCCCGACTGAGCTTTTGTGTATGTGCATATGTGTGGAACAAGGATTTGCTTTCTTTTCACATATCCTTTGGGCAGGCTCATGCCAAATGAAAATGATTTTCTGGACAAATGATTTGGCTCAGAAAGTTTCCCCCAACAAGGGTGAATTGTGTGTGTGTGTGTGCGCGCGCGCCTTTCCACTGATTATATCCCCTCAACTCCTGTACCCTTACTCTCACAGCAATCCAAACAGTTTCTCCAAGCTTTACATAAGCAGGTCATGCTTTTAATTCTGTGTCTCTCTTCCTCTCCTGTGATCGTCTGTAGTTTTCCTACTTGATCAATTCCTCTGCATCTCCTTTCTCAGGAAGAAGCTGCTTCAGAGGCATTAGCTCAGTTGTTGTCCAAATATGGTGGTCCATAAGCAACGTGACCTGCCTGTATCTAATGGATGCTCAGCATTCTGTACAGGACTAAGGGCTTAGGATGTGCTCCAATTATGAAATGCAGTGCAAGGAGAAGCTTTTTGGTATGTTCACCTTTGGCTTTTCCTGAGGGAGGACACGTTTCTTTCCCAGGACTGTACTGCAACTGGAGTAAAACTGCTTTTTAAAAGCCACTTCTCTAAAAATTACTTCTCTTTAAGAACTCTTTAAAAATTCTTTAAAAAATTCTTTTAGGAATCCATTTTCCAGCTGGGACTTCTTACTGAAATTATTTTTCTTACTCTGGTTGCTCTTTTGGTAACCAACCCTCATGGAAAGCTTCCAAGCGGGATGATATGACCATGGACATGCACTTTCCCTTGGAAAATGTTTTATGACTAAACTTCACCACTATACCCAGAACAATCTTAACTATGCTGACAGGAAAAATGGAAAGACATAGAAAATCAAACAGACAGAAGCATCAAATTAAATGGGAGAAGTCTTGTATCACATGGATGTTGGAAGAAATACTGATACAATCATTAAAGAGCCCAGGACTTTTACTAGAACAAAAACTATATCTGGGTAAGCCCATACTCAAATGACCGCCAGAGCCTTTTAAAAACATTGATCTAAGAGTTCCTTATGCTGACAACGGCCTACGGACAAAACCAGGTGATTAAGAGCTTGCCATCATCATTACATTGTTCTAATATCTCTCCTTGGCCAGAAGCCTGTTGGACAAATGCAAGATGCAACAGCAATTATCTCCTCTCCCCTAGTGAATGATCTTTCATATGACTAGTTGAACACTGCTGATGAAACTCAGTATGCTCTCTGACATACAGCTCACTGGATGATGGACAGCCTGTTGGAAGGGAAAAAACACTGCCTGATTACCTCGCTTGTTTTTTTTTTTTTAAATAAGATTCTGGCCCTCGTCTCTAAGTCGAGGCATCTGCCCAAATGATATGATTGCCTCCTTGGCAAAGTAGGATTGAACTGGAACTGATTTAATCATTCCTAATTCAACTTGTCAAGCTGACAGGAAAAGAGGTAATTTGTCTGAAATATGGTGCTGGGAGAAAGCTTTGCAGATATTCTGGACAGCCGGAAAGATGAACAAGGGGGCGCTAGGGCAAATCAAGCCTGAACTATCTCTGGAGGCAAAAATGAAGAAACTGAGGCAGTCCTATCATGAGAAGGCAGTACTCTTTGGGAAAGACAATAGTACTGGGAAAATCTGAGGGCAACAGGAAAAAAAGGAAGACCAAACATAAGATGGATTGACTCTCTAAAGCAGTGGTCTCCAACCTTGGGCCTCCAGATGTTCTTGGACTTCAACTCCCAAAATCAAGCCTGAACTATCTCTGGAGGCAAAAATGAAGAAACTGAGGCAGTCCCATCATGAGAAGGCACTACTCTTTGGGAAAGACAATAGGACTGGGAAAAGCTGAGGGCAACAGGGAAAAAAAAGGAAGACCAAGCATAAGATGGATTGACTCTCTAAAGGAACCCACAGGCTTGAGTTTGCAAGACCTGAGCAGGGCTGCTGAGGACAGGACATTTTGGAAATTGCTAATTCAAAGGATGCCATAAGTCAGAAGTGACTTGACAGTCCATAACAACAACTCAGTCTCCAGCTGGCTGCTTGGCTCAGACAACTAGGTATCTGGCTATGGAGTCGGAGGTTGGAAGTTTGATTCTCCAATGTGCCTCCACAGAGAAGAGCCAGCCTGTGTAGCCTTGGACAACCAACACTGTCCCAGAAGAAAGGAATTGCAAACCACTTTTGAGTCCTCACTACCTAGAAAAACCTGGAAAGTGTTGCCATATCTCAGAATTGACTTGGTGGGACATTATTATATAATTCAATCTCAAGATAGTCTGTACAGTCCACTGAGCAGATTTGTAGTGTCTGAGAGATGATGCAAGAAGTATAAAAGGAATTTTATCATCTCCAATAACTAGTGGATTCCCATAATTGATTTTAGGGTTGGAGACTTTTCAAATACCATTTCCCCTTGGGGTCAGGGAGTATATTCTTTCCATAAATAACAACTTTTCTTTCTTTCTTTCTTTCTTTCTTTCTTTCTTTCTTTCTTTCTTTCTTTCTTTCTTTCTTT